AATCTTAAAGCAAATGCGCGCCCCCCTCTCGCCTAGTAACTCTAAGCACAGCGTAGGACACGGTGCCCTACCTCCAGCGTTCATTGGTTGGCCCGTTGGATTGTCACCTTAATTCACACAGAAAACTGTATCAAGTGCACTGACGACGCGCTGTCTGACATTTAATGTGGTCATTCATTGAGTGTTTGTGGCTCTCAAGATTCTGCTTATGTTGTTTTTGACTTGGGCGCTGTCGGTGGTAACCCTGCAAGTTTGTGTTGCGAAGCAAGTGTGGGCTCTTCCGGAGCAAACAATTGATGGTTCAATTCACCTCTTCCCTTGGAATTGATGTTTCAACACAGACTCCCCCGTGGAATTGATTTTTCAACCATGTTGAAAATGCACGCAAATGACAAAGCCACCTTGTAAGAACTCGGATTGACAGCCCGCACATTTTGTGGTTTGCAAAACCCATTGACGCTTTGTCAAGCATCATCCCCAGCCGGCCAAATTTCTTCAAACTCTACACTTGCAAAATCCTGCATTGGACCAAGGGCAGTCACCTGTACAAACCGTTCGTTGTGTGCAATACAGGGATTATTGTGTTTGATTTCGAGGCTGAAAACGATGTTTTTTTTCTCAACAACATGTGACATGTGTGATTTTTTTTCCAAACTGAAAGCACAATGTGGACATGTGGTTGTGTTTAATTGCACAGGTATGCCCACGGTAAAATCATTCAATCCAATTTTTTTTTGTTTTTCCAGTTTTCCACGCCGCTAGTTGTTGCAGACTATATAGTGAATGCAGGCCATCAGGTTGTCTTCAAACAAATGCGAGTACTTATATTTTTGACCGTCGAACCGCGATTGACTTATGCAATGCACAATTGAGTTTGAGAGGACATCCAAAGGCTCATGGTAAATATCAGGATCAACGTGAATAGTTGTGACTTGCATTTGGCTGGAGGAACGGTTTAGGTATCTTGAACTGTGACACCATGTTGCCACCATGATCCTTTGCCCAACTCAAAAGCTGGAAAACCCTGTGCCGCAAACATGGTTGAATACTGTAGCTGAATTCTATATTTTTGTGTAGGACCTTGTAGGATGGATTGTTTTGTTTGAGAAGGTGGTCAATTTTTGACAACCTATGCAACGCCACAAACCACGCGAAACAATTATATAGCATTTTTATGCATTTTTGCATTCTCAAGCTAAAGCATTCAACCCATTTCTGATTTCATGTCTTCCAAGTGGAGTGCTGATGGTTGCCGAGTGGAGGTGCAGTTTTTATTTTGCAATCACGACAGTTTACAAACTCGGGAACTCCAGGATGGCGCACTCTTGGCAGGCATGACGAGGGAAGGGTCATTACAGTGTTTCACCACTGGTTTTGTCAGCGTGAGGAAAGACTTTGGTTGTTTTCAATGCGACAATAGGATTTCCTGAACATTAATTGATGTTGATGCAAACGGATGAACATGCCAACTGGAGCACTAACGGAACAACCATCATCAGCAGGTGCCATATCAGCGAACTTTCCGTCTGTGGATATTCCTGAAACATGTGGGTCTCGAGATCCAAAAGTGGCAGGCAGGGTTGACATTGTTTGATTGACATTGTTGATTGTGTTCTTGATTTGCAGCAACAATGTTTCCTTTTTGTAATGGACAAGATGGACAAGTCAAGTGAAAGCGCATTGTGATCCAGGTGGCTTCGATGTGTGGATAAAGGAGAATCCTCAGCTGGAGAGCCAGGCATAAAGCGAAATTAAGAAATGTGGCAAAGTACATTGCGATTCAGGTGGCTTCGATGTGTGGATAAAGGAGAATCCTCAAGCCAGGCATACAATGAAATCAAGAAATGTGGCAAATGCGGCAAAGCCTGTGTCCAGCACCAAGTATATACTAAATTAACGTGACGGTGTTTGCAGTTGTTCATCCACAGCTGGCATGACTTATTGCTTGAGGCAGTGACAATGACACTCTGATGCTTGGATTTGGAGAATGCTTGAAAGGTGCAAATAAGCTACTAGGAACAAGTGCATCGCTTCTAGTAACAAGTGCCTTACTAGTAGTTACAAGGAGGCTAGTAGTCACAAATCCGGGACAAGATTCAGCTCAGGCAATGGGTGTGGAGCGTCATTGGCTGAAGTCCCTGTGTCCAAGAGTCCAAACCTCTTTATGGCGTTCATTTATGGGGTGGAGAAGGTTTCAGCTACCGGCTTTCCTTTGAAGATCTCAATGCGCCTGGAGACAAGGGACATCATGGTGTTTGATGATCCACTGGCCATTACCCGCGCTCATGTTCTTTCTGTGCCGACAAACGTATACTGCCTGACGCTTATTTTGTCGCACTTTGCATTTGTTCTGAAAAGTGGCCCAGATATTTTTAAATACTGTAAATTTCTGTTACGAAATTTGGCGCAAGACGCGGCGCCCACCACCCTTGACGGCAAAGGCGTTAAATCCAAATAAATCCAAATCACTCAAGTTTTAATGCTTTTGTGGATCTTTGATTTGTTGCCACTGTTTTCTTTTTTTTTGTTAATGTGCAAACCTCTCTGCATGTCACAAAGCGAACACTCGGGGACTCCGAGCCAGAAATCCTTCAATCTTTCTCTCCGAGCTGTATTTGGATTCTGTACTTTTTTCCGCCTGCAGTTTTGACTTGGTTGACAACATGACCCAGTCCAGGTAAGGTTGTCTGGTCGTCGGACATTTGAACCAAGAAATCAAAAGCAATTCTCAGACTTCTCAGATACACAATAGACAAAGAATGCATTCTCAAGGCTGCCGGACTCTAGGCGTTTGTCGGAAGCTTTCAGTACTCTAAAAGGGCCACCGGGTGGCCTAAGGCTTAAGGTGCCGGCATAGCAATAGAGAGAGAGAGAGTGAGTGCTTAGTTACAATCGGAGAATAGCTGAATTTGCTTATACCAAAATGTCCAGGGCCTTGGGGCTTATGATTCCGAAGAGTGTCCAAAAGCTCCATACCGACTTGGACAATGCCACTCATCATGACCCATCACGCGGTACTTTTCGGAGGCTTTGATGCTGAAAGTAAAAGCGCACGATATATATATATATATACATATTATAATATACACATACACAGTTGGATGGCGAAACACAAGACACACACATCAAGCAGGCTTCTTGGACTTCCAAACTTGTCAAATCGACAGTGCCCAGAAGTGAAGGACAATTCTCAGCCAGGGCTTGTTGCATGGTTGAGACAATTTATACACTCTTCGCTTGAAGGAAGCTAATCACATCCAAAAGGGTTTCAGCAACAAAACAATCACACCAGGTTCGAAAGTTTATGGCCTCAGGCTCAGGCCAACCAGTTTGAAATCAAAGAGATTTCCAAGTCAAAGTCTCGACATTCGCAAAAGACAACACATTTGCACACAAGGCAACGTGAGCAAGCTGTGTAGCAACACTGCTTGAGAAGGTTGTCAACAATCATCAATAATCCAGGACAAAGGTGGTGTTTTTCAGGTGTGTTTCCAACTTTTGCCTGCAAGACTCTCAAGGTCTTATGAACGGCTTTCTTTAACCGCCGAGGATGCCAATTCAAGACGTTGACGTTTGGGATTGCTGTGCTTTTGTGAACTTGTGGTACGAGTATGATTGTTCCTTTATACAATACGTTGCTCCGATTCAAGCTTGTCTGCCTCTGCAGTTCATTATCCTTGGAAAGTGGTGAGACCTTATTCGTTCTAGCAACAACATTTAGGCAGCGTCAGTCCTCTCTTGACCTTCTCAAGCAAGGCAAGGATAGCCCAACAGTCAAGACACAAACTGCACGTGCTTGGGGAACCTCTTGGTTAACAGAATCGCTTTCTGCGGCGCATCCTGGATTTTGCCTCATTCTAATCTAACCATGAGAAGTTTCTCAGTTTCAGGTCCTGACGTTAGACATCTCTTTTGCGACCCTGGCCCAGCCCTAGCCCTATTGGACAAAATGGAGGCGGGGAGCCAAAGTTCAACGCAGATTTGACAATTACGAGTGCCGTATGACAGTCCCCTTCAGGAGTCTGCCTGGACTGCATTGGCACAGGGTCCTTTGGCGTCTGCCGAATGGAGGAAAAAAGCTTTGTCGGCAGTTGCTCGGATTGGATGTTTGCCTGCGGTTCTTGCAGTTCTTTTTTACTATTGTTTGCGACACCTTGATTGCCGATGCAACTTGAATTGCCAAGGCGGGATATGAGATGCCACTAGAAGCTCTACGTGAACATGTCATAATGGCTTTCAACCTGCCTCCTTCGCAATACCAGCTGCATCTCCAATTTATGCAGAGGGCCCAGGTGAGTTGCGAGCGCACTCCAGGCACTTTAATATTGTAATTGTATTGTATCTTTGGAATTCTTTTGAATGGTGGCTATCCCTCACCAAGGCTTCCACCTTTGTTGCCCTCTCATTTGGGCGTTTTTAGAAGTGGTGCCCATTTTGTGCACTTGCGACACTTTCCCTTGGCTTATGTCAGAGAAGCCCTGAAGAAAATGCAAGCAGCTGGCTTGGCCTTTCCTGACGCTTCAAACCTGCCGCTTCCTGAGACTTGAACAATCCGACACCAATTTGCTGACACCATGCAAGCGCTGCTGAATCTGAGAATCAGCACTGATAGGACTGCTCCAGAGCTGGTGCAGCGAATCTCCTCGACGTTTTCTGAGATTGATTACAGCAGAGCTCACGGTGTGGACATGGAGCGCCTGGAGAAGAGCAATGCGCTCCTGGCAAACTATGATCCGGCAGACTTTACCCATGCAGTGAAAGGACGCGAAGTGCGAGTGAAGCCATGAGAAGTCAACAAAGTCATGTTTGTATTTAAAACAGGAATTCATACTCTCTTGAACCAAGTGTCCATGATTCAGTAACCCCCCAACAGGTCCCAAATGAAAGACTTTCTGTTCTGATGCCCACCCGCAAGCCACCTTTTGGGGAGTCCTAAACAAGATCTGGGCAAGATAATATTCCTCGCCCTCGCCCCCCAGTGTCCATGTGATAGAGTGCCCGAACCATTGCGTGCAAAACCTCAAAAACAAACATTTCAGGCATCTTCCAAGGCCTTGGGATTTTTTTGTCGCATGTCAGCATTTCCACAACCTCTGAGCAATCAGAATCACCTGTATGGGCCTGTCTCTTTTGTTTGGCTTCCGTGTGCCCGCAAGCCTCAGCTTGTGGGGCGAATGCATACACAATGACATGAACCTTTGCTTATAGCTTGTCAAAGCGTATGGACGTTGCTGTACCCGTACTACTCTTGCTATTCTTACCACTCTGACTACTCTTACTACTCTTACTGCTACTCTTACTACTCTTACTGCTACTGCTGCTGGCCACTGCTACTGCTCCTGCTACTACTACTGCTGCTGCTGCTGCTACTACTAACTAGTCCTACTTCTTTCGTGCATGGCTATTCTCAAGTTCCAGATGTTTGACTTGATTCACATGCAGGAGATGAAGTCACTGATAAGCACACCTTAAAGAAAATTGAGGCCTGTCAGGAAGTGCGCGATGTTTGAACACCAAAATGTTTAACTCAAGCCGCTGTTGAGATGGGCGAAGCTGCGCCGAGGGCCTTTCCGCTAAAGAGCTGGATGCTGCTGACAAGCTGTCCCTCCAGGGATACGGCCGTCCTTATGTTGGTGGCAAGCCAGGTAGACTGATTGGGTGATGAATGGTTCGTTTTGGATTGAAGACTGCTTGGACTGGTTTGTGTGATTATTTTTTTTCTCTTCACACTGCAGGTGGTGTGTATTATTCATACGCTCGTTCACCAGAGCCTTTGCCATCCTTGGCCTCGAAATCAAGCGCCTGTGGCGCATGTGATATTGGCATTTGCTGAGGCCTCAGGACAATCATGTCATGCAACTGTTGGTTGAATCAAAATAAGCTTTTTCCTTCTTTCCAGATTCTTTCCAGCAATTGTAAGCAGAGCTGTGTTTGCAAGTTTGTTCCTAGGTACTGTTGCTTGAGTTTCATGGTAAAAAAGGCGCATAAAGCATTGCTTCTTTGGATTTGGAACACTGTCAAGCATTCAGTGGCCACCTTCCAGCTTCAACAAACGCGAAGACAATAGTCCGTTGCACATAAGTACATAAGTAAGGCCTTTGTTTCTTCCGCAAGGATCTATTTCTTCCCTAATTTGCAGGGATTTGCTCAATTTGATCTGAACAAACTGAACATCGGAAAGTCAATTGCCAGCTACCTTCACATGGCGTCACATGGTGCTGTATGGGACAACTTTGAAGTTTTCACGACAATGCATCAAATTTGCCAGCTGCTGTGAAGCACTTGATGAATCGTCTTTTGGCACCTTGCGAACTCTTTGTCAATGTCTACAGTCCCCGTAGGTAAGTCCATACTGGGAACAGTGTTGAGCGAGAGTCAGCTTTTGACCAAATTTGATAGTCACTTGTCGCAAACGTGCTGATGATTTCCACTTTCGGCTCACATAGTCAGTTGGGCATTGCCCCTAGATATCCTGAACATCGGCCTTTGCAGGACGTACACTGCGCGCTTCTTCACTAAATCCATGAAAGAAATACACCACTTGTCTATGCACTTGGGGTTGTCGAGTAGAAGGTGAAATGCTAGACTGTTAGTTGGGAGATTCTAATGAACTAGTTTCTGCGAGCTTAAGAGCAGCTTCTGTGTGGAGGATGAAGCGTGACTACGACCATCTATTCAAGCTGGACTCTTCTCTGCAGATTGAAATGAGAAGGACAGACATTGTTCTTTTATATACTGTAAGGTTTTAAGCACGTTCTGGCAAATTGCCTGAAAAGTCCTGCTGAGGTTCTGATTGGGGACTCAGGCGCAGGCAAGTCTTGCCTCCTCCTGCGTTTTGCAGATGATGCCTTTACAGACAGCCCCTTGCTGCTGAAACTCTTGAAAACTCTTGGTCTTTGCTGCACAAAGGGCCCGAAGATCCGTTTCCAACTCAGGCTACATAACTACCATCGGAGTGGATTTCAGATTCAAGACTATTCCCGTAGACAAGAAGTTTCTTGGCGTGCTTTCAGCTTGCTCAACCCATCCTTGCCAAAGACTTCTTTGGCAAGACTCCACAAGCAGACTGGAAAGCTGTTGCTGCGATTGAGGACAATCAAGCTCCAGATTTGGGACACAGCAGGTCAAGAAAGATTCAGGACGATCACCAGTGCGTGGGTGGCTTACAGCTCACTATGAGCAGCATACGCCTGGTGCTTTTTGTGTACTTCCTCAGTAGACAAGTAGACACGTCAAAAGCAGCAAGCATACACTCTTGCTGTTGTCAAGCCAAGGTACTACCGTGGTGCAGTCTGGAGCTTACAGCAATGTAAAGTTACTAGATTTGCCATGATAGTGATATGAATATATAACGACAGAAAATCAATACTGTATATCTATATACTTAATTTTGTAAGTGATTAAAAGAAAAGAAAGGAAAGGGGGATCTATTCAGGACGGAATCATCCTCGTGTACGACATTTGCGATCGGGAGTCCTTCAAGCATGTGGACGAGTGGCTGAACGAGGTCAACCGTCACTTTCCCAGAAAGTGCAAAGCAGAAATTACAAACTAATTCATGTCGATTGGCACTTTGACACTTGTTTGACCCAGAAATATGTACAGTACTATCAGCCATCAATCACTCTACTACTGAAGGCTATGTCAATGAGAATACTTGCAAGATTCTCATCGGCAACAAATGCGACATGACTGCCGATAGACAAGTTTCGACAGAGGAGGCCCAAAAGAAAGCAGAGGCCCGCCGTTATTGTATTCTTTTTTCAGTGCAGTCTTGAGGGAACTCTCTAACAGGTTATCACACTTGATTGCTTAAGATCGGTTTGTCGTTTATTGAAAGCCAAGCAGGGTAGCAGTACGGTCGGGTTCAGGCCCTGAAGGAACCCTGGGTGAGCAAATGATACCAGGAGGTTAAGTACAGAAGTGTTTGACCTTGAACTTTGAATCCTCTAACACCTGTAGCTAAAGTACACTCGCTGTTTATAGACTGGCGATCCACTATGCAGATTAATGCAGTAGTGAATTGCCTTTGACCTGAAGCTTTGTAGAGCAATTATACCAGCATAGACCCCAAACAGCTTCAAAACGATTCGTTTGGACCAATATTAGTCAAAAAACAATTTCTTGGTACGCCCTACCTTCACCCCAAGAGCAAACTGCTTCATCAATGAGTTTTTGTCGGCATTGACATCGCTATTCACGTCGCTTCGCGACGGTAACCGCCCGCACCGCATGGAAGGGGCCAATATTTCCACCGAACATAGCCCCGGAAGTGACCCCCCCCATAATGTTACCGTTCCTGGACCTGATCTGCTTATCTCTGCTCCTGTGGAGCCAAATAGATGTTAGGCAATATGGAAGTGGAGAGGGTGTTTGCGACGTTCGGGGCCCTATCTCGAGAAAACATACTGGAGATAGTGCCTTCGGGGGCTATGTTCGATCATATGGAAGCTATGCTCGTGAGAAAATGTTACCATTCCTGGACATTATCTTTCCTTATCTCTGCTCCTGACCACCATTCCTGGACCTTATTTTTCCTTATCTCTGCTCCTGACCAGCCACGTACCCGGACGTTCAAGTCCCTATCTCGAGGAGACATGCTTGAGATAGTGACTTTGCAGGCTTTTCCAGTCCCTTTTTGAGCCCTTGTTGGGCCATGTTTACGACGTTAAAGTCCCTATCTCGAAGAAGCATGCTTCACGCTCTGCTAGTGACTTTGCAGGCTTTTCCAGTCCCTTTTTGAGCCCTCGTTGGGCCATGTTTACGACGTTGAAGTCCCTATCTCGAAGAAGCGTGGTTGAGATAGTGACTTCTGGGGCTATGTTCGATCATATGCACGCTCTGCTCGTGCGAAAATGTTATATACCGTTCCTGGACGTGATCTCTGCTTATCTCTGCTCCTGTGGAGCCAAATATCACTTCTAAAGCTATGTCAGGCAATATGGAAGCTATGTTTGGCCACGTTAGGGGGGGTTTTTTATTCCAGTTTACGACGTTCAAGTCCCTATCTCACAGACACGTCCTTTAGATGGTGACTTCTAGGGCTATGTTAGGCAATATCTTCACTCTATTCCAGTCCCTTTTGAGCCTTCGTTGGGCCATGTTTACGACGTTCAAGTACCAATCTCGCAGACACGTCCGTTAGATAGTGACTTCTAGGGCTATGTTACGCAATATGGAAGCTATGTTGAGCCCCGTTAGGGGAACCTGTTCAGCCAAATGTCCGGCCATAGTCCAATTACACTTTACCGCTCAGATGATGCAGATGAGGTTAGGGTTTTTTTATTCCAGTTTACGACGTTCAAGTCCCTATCTCGCAGACACGTCCTTTAGATAGTGACTTCTAGGGCTATGTTAGGCAATATCTTCACTCTATTCCAGTCCCTTTTGAGCCTTCGTTGGGCCATGTTTACGACGTTCAAGTACCTATCTCGCAGACACGTCCGTTAGATAGTGACTTCTAGGGCTATGTTACGCTTAGGGGAACCTGTTCAGCCAAATGTCCGGCCTCAGTCCAATTACACTTTACCGCTCAGATGATGCAGATGATGCAAAGCAGAAAATTGCATTTCTTGCATCACTAGGGGCTTCAAGTTAGCACGAGTTTATCTTCCAGCACTTTAAGCCGGTTCCAAAAACGTGAAAAACATAGGATTCTAGAGCGAAAACGCACCCCCCCGTAGCTAAAGCTACTAGTACTTGCGGTTCTTGCGGTATAATGCGAGCCTCATAAAAACGCCTCGGCACCTTCGGTGCGGGCGGATTTGTTCGGCCACACTCCTCTCCAGCAAACCGGGCCAGCCACAGAGTTCAGGGGCGCGGCCACGACAAGGACAAGAGGAGAAGACCCGGACACAGAGCCGGGCCACAGAGCCCAGCCACAAAGTTCAGGGGCGCGGCCAAGACAAGGACAAGAGGAGGACCAGTGAGTGTGGCCAGTTTTTTCTTCTAAGATGGAACCCCAACAGTACACTGGTTGGGGAAAAAGCACTGAGTGCTGGCAAGCTGAGTTGACCCACGTGAAGGGCGAACTGTGACAATGCAAGCGCAGCTACTCGTTTGAACAATTTCTACAATCAAGTGCACAGCTCAATGCCTTTTTGGTAATGCGTGGACGGGGGCTTGTGCGAGAGCGTTCAGGTTCGTGCGGTGCTGCGCAATGCAAAAGTGTAAGCCGCAGCATCCTGTACATCAGTTTCTTGACACTTTGGTATTCACGCCGCTCCGCGGCAAGGTCCGCCCGCACCGCCATGAAACAGTTGCCCAGCAAAAACGGCGAATAGCGAGTCGGTTTTTGAGGTTGACGTTGCCAAAAACGCCACTACGTACCGTATTTTACAGTGTTTTTATGCCCTGTGAGGCAGAAACCACTGCAAATAGCGATGCTTTTGAGCTTGCCGTGGCCCAAATGTCAAAAAAGACAACCGCAATTTGCGACGCTTTCAACAACATGGTCGCCAAAACACTGCTATTTGCGAGTTTTCTACATTTTTGCGCAAAGAACTTAAGCCTCGGCAATGTACAAAAACACTGCAAAAACCAATGTTTCTACCCAACAAAAACGCGAAAACCGTCACCCAAACAGATCCGAAATTACAAAATCTGGCCTCCAGGCCTCCCGACAAGACACATGGAAAAATACGCATTTCAAAACCAAAAATCGAAGACCAACAGTAAAAAAAACATCACATTTCTCTTGCCGTTTCCGGCGGGCGCATCCACGAACTAGTCACTAGTCCATTCCGTGCTGTAAGACATAGTGTTTTTTTTCAATCCGCCGTCTATGAAAAACCCATTGTTTTCACCAAAAAAAGGGACCCCCCCCAGGTAAACCTGTATCTTACAGTTGTTTATGCCATCCGGATGATCACGCCCTGAGCACTTTTGGTGCGTGGGCATTTCTTGGACTTTTTCAAAAATAATTCTGACCTATGACAAAGGGCCTATGTGCAGGACTTGGGCATCGCCTTCAT